TTTTTTATTATCAAATTGAATTATCAATAATGCACTCGAGGTTTACTATCATATGATACTTAAATACTGAAGTGATGCATATATTGCGCAATAAATTATATGCACTTAACCTGTTTTATTATAAGTAATATATTTCGTCTTAAAATTTCTATACACAGGTGTCGCATAAATATATTGCTCGTGATATGAAACTGTAAAAACATCTAAATTTATTATTTATTACTAGAATTATTGTAATAAATCGTAAAACATTTCAAGGCCTCAAATAAGATTTACAATTACAAGAAATCAGTTTATAGAAATCAGATGGAATTAATAATTTAATCATATATTTAATTGGTTTTGACACTCAGAAATAAGATGTATTTGTGAGCCACAAGTGCAGAGCATACATCATTTAACTTTATTTTTTTTTTTTTTTTTAATATGATACTTTGAACTTTCTACACTATTTATATTTGTAATTACACTATGTTTGATATAAGTCGTCATTGACTTGTGTTACATAAAAAGAAGGAAACGAATAGCACTAATTAGAAGGAATATATACTATGAGGGAGAATCTTAGCATTCTAGATCCTCCCCCATGAAGTAATGGGTCGATCGGCGGTTATCGTGACGATTGAAGTAAGGTTTGATCCACAAAATGTAGTAATGTTAGTTATGTCGACCAAAAGATTTTTCACCGTGTGTATAGATTTCGCAATCTTTAAACGCGCAACGTAACGTTCCTTGAAGTCTTTGCAAGTTGCTTTCCGATGCAGAAAAATGCAAGTAATGCTTTAATACGATCCATCTACTGTAAACATACATCTCCTGAGTTAACATTGACTATTACATCCCTGAACGCACAAAGAAGACGACATGGGAACATAAAGACACAAACGAACTCCTCGGCAAAGAGTTAGAGATAAATCTCACGCCATGTAGGGCACGCCGGGGCTGATTTATGCGATGTCCCAGATATAGATATTTACATTATTTTAATAATACACAAGCGTAAAATATGAGTAATGGAATAGTTGTCCATGGTATCTAATCCATATTTGCATAAAGTCATGGTTGAACTTATTGCATCAATCGACATTTTACTGGACTTGAGTTAGAGTGATGATCTTAAAAATTCTCCACCAACCAACTTCACGTGTATTTTTAGTACCTAGTAAAAATTGTAAAATTTTCGGGATTATTTTTAAATTTAGGTAAAAAATAAATACACATAATATCTCACTAAATCTCACTATTAGGGTTTGTCGGTTTTCAAAAACCGGTTTTAAAAACCGGTTTTTTGACGAAAATTATGGAATTCGAAAACCGATTTTTTAGTGAAAAATGTTGGTTTTCACTGTATAAATGGAAAATGACAAATATAGCCAAATATAAAAGATAGATGAAAGCGTTTTGATTCTTGAAATCATATCGGTTCAATAGCATTTAATATCTTATCAGTGTGCAATATATTAATTTAGATTTTTATACCAGTGTATGTTTTAATTAAATAACAAAAAACAATTACGCATAATTTGGTCGCAAGTATAAGAGTATTTTCTATTTCAGGAATTTTTGTGAGTAAACAAAGGACACGTTTAAGTAGCAATTCAATAGATGTTCTCAGTTTCTTGAAATCATATTTTATTGTAATAATGTTTAAAATTAATTAATTAAAATTGCTCGGAATAGACAATACTTGAGTTTTTAATTGTTTTTAAAACTAAAAGTGATATTATTAACAAGTATGTGTCAACATGTATCTATTTTTTTTTAATTTAATGAATTTTTTTTATTTAAAAACGTATTATTTTTATTTATTCGAAAACTTTCCTTTCACTATCATAAAAATATTTTCATTCTTATATGTGAAAATGATGCATGAATAACGAAGTTATTTAATCAAGACTAACTATTATCTTTTAGTTTAACTAATTAAAATTAAAATAATTTTGTTTACTATCTATAAAATTAGGCAACAAATAAATTCAGTCAAATACTGCTTTAAATTACACTAAAATTGCGGATAAATTACAAAATATTCGAGAAAAATTTTGTTTTCTATATAAAATTTGAAAACCGGTTAAAACCGTTTTTTTTAGTAAAATTGAAATTCGAAAACCGGTTTTATAAAATGTCGGTTTTTGTATAAATCCTACTCACTATGCCTCGCAGCATAATATTTCATTCATTTTTTCCAACTCCTTCACCACCTTTTTGCATCTCTTGTCATTAATAGACGGCTCCTAAGTATATTTATTCTATGTCTATTACCTTTTGAAATAAATATTTCAAATTTTATGTTCTTCACCACTGGTGTGCCCTACTTCGTGATTCTGCATCTTGCATAATGGTCTTTTGCAAATGCAAAGCAATCCACGGCTCCGGTTACTTACGACTTGTGATGTAGAACTCGAGGGCTGTTTTTATTAAACATTTCTTATTATGGGTATTATATTATTATTCCCGTCGTGTGATATCATTGTCGTGAAAGACAACATGTTGAGATTTGTTCTAGAAATGCGCTTTGCGAAAAAATGAGAAGAGAGAACATTGTAAAAGTACTTATTTACATTTATAGATTGTTAGAAGGGACTCATAATGTAGTGTATGTATATATTCTTATTATATTAGAGTTATCAATTTCATTGCACATAATCTTCTATTTGTATTATTTTATATTTCTCAAGTAGTGACCTTCCAACAACCAGCAGAATCAAGTTGTGTTACGCAATATAATTTATTGCATACGCATCCAGCAACTTTTGTTTGACACATTATCATTTATAATTGAATTGAAGTTTTGCGTTTCTGTTCTCGTAATCTCGTTCACATGACTCTTTATTTGATTGTAAAATGGTAACGCCATTGTTGAAACGAGTGCTGTTTTGTATATGTACATAATAATTAGTAGCACTATGAAAGTTGGGTTTAAACGATTTAATTATTTGAGGGCATATATAGAAATTTTGTTATGCAATCTATATGGCTTGCAGTTATGATCTTAAGGGGGGTTGTTGGGTTTTTTTTTTTTTCGATTTTGAGATTTTTGATATTATGAAAGCTAAAAACCTTAGAATTATTTAAAAACAAATCATCTTAATATCTATTTTTTGACGAAGTTATAGATGTATATATCTCTATATGTATGATCCTCTGAAACCGTTTTTTTCATCGCTCCGCGAGCTATTGTATGCCAGCTGCTCTCTTTTTCATTATAATACCTCATGCACATGACCTTTTAATGTGTCAGCATCTTTGAACACCATGGTGGATTTAGTACATTCAAATTAAATGTTGTATTTAGTACATTATATGAGAACTTTAAATACGTTTTTTTAAAATGACTTTTTTCAATGCGTGGTGTAACAAAAAACAACCCCCTAACACATTTTGCATGATGTTACATATTAAATTTTGTATGTACCCAAATTAAAATACGCTATATAGCTTCTAAAGTTATTCAACTAATTTTCACAATGTTACATTCCAGGAAGCGGACAAGCTATCAATCCTGAGCGAGACGGACAGCGGTGTCGTGTGCACTTCCACGTCCCGTCCATCCAGCTACGTCGGCACACCAAATCTCCAGGGAATTTTGTTCCCCCCTTTACCTGCCACCGGTACGCCACTGTCTCTATGCTGTGTTCAGTGCCGCCGAACCGTTTCCTTGACGACGCCGGCCCTGCCCGCAACTTGCCAAGGTATAGGGTTATGGAAAATGTCGTTGATAAATTCAAAGGCAGCGGTACGCACCTACCGCGATGTCAGATGTGCCCAGAAAATCCAAAAATCGCAGCCGTGTCTGCGAACAATGCGCTGTTTTATATTGCGACGAGTGCAGGGAAACTTGTCACCCGGCCAGGGGCCTTTGGCGGGACATACACTTGTGAGAGCAAGGGCACCGCCGTCTCCGGAGCCGTTTTGCCCGGAACACCAGGACGAGAGGCTAGGATTTTACTGTTTGGCGTGCAAGGAACCTGCCTGCGCGAGCTGCCTGCAGACGGAGCGACACGCCAGTCATGACGTGCAGGCGATCACTGCAATGTGCAAGGCGCAAAAGGTCAGACATTGTTATTAAATATTCATAGATGTATTATATATTCATTAGGCGGGGTTTACTCGTGCCTCCAATTGCATAGCTTGTTAAAATATCGACATAGTTTACTATTTTCTGATGATATTACATATATGCGCTTTCACGATGTTTGGTAAATGAATTTGATCTTTAAACTGCAGTTAACCGCGGAAATCTATTAAGTCACACTGCAGTGAAATTGAATATGATTAAGTGCGCTGAACGTTGTTCATTATTAATTTTCAAACTTACCAATAATCTGATGATCCAATTATAGTCTAAGCAGTAACTGTATGTTTTTATTTCCGTTCCTCTGAAAAATGTATCAATTATCTCAAAATGTTTTATTACAATCAGAGATCATTATCAAGGAAATAGTCTATGTACAGTTACTTCAACTAGTTTGGCAATATTTTAAATTAATTGACTTGCACGAAAAAAAAAAAAAGTATGACATGTGAAATAAACATTTCCAATAGCTGAATGAAACTAAAACGTTGAAATCACGCAATACGTAGTCTTTCTGTCTGTCAATATGTCTGAACGAATCGATATAGTTGTGAAATTTACTTGCTTTGCATATATAACTGACATAAAATATATAATGTCATAACTACGCATAAATTCCAATGGGGAAATATCTGAAAACAGATTGAGAATCATAATATATTGATCATGTTTCCGCATTGATTTCATTATAATTAATCGATTTAATTAAAAGGAAATACGGGAGCCGTGTTGGTCCGTTATTAATTCGATGGTATCTCTACCCGTTAAAAGCTTGCTAATGAATACAAACTGGTCTTTTTCAATATTTAATGGTAGGGTCGCTCGCGGTCAAATATATACTCTACCTTGGTTAAAATTTTCTAAAAACATTCCGAATCGTTGGGCTATAGGTCGTCATCCATTTTCATAATATTATCCATTAAGAATGTCACAATCGGCGCGCGAACTCCGGCTACCAGATGCAATTTACATGTTAATCCGTCCACACAGATCGACTGGATTACGGAGAATTTCGTGAAGTAGTGTTGTGAACTTATTTAAATATGCACAGACGTTTTACTCATATAGATAGTTGGAATGAAAATCGGTTCAGAGTACGAAGTTGAAATTAAATTAATCGCGGCGAATATACTTGTGGTTGTTGTGCTATAAGTTAATTGCTGAATTTCAATTTCGAAATCAAATAAAAATGATAATGATGTGGTTAACGAGCTTTGGGAATATTTTTTTGATTGATATTTCAATTTCGTTTATAACTTTGTAATTACACGTTTATACATGTCCAGAGCTTTTAAAAATAGTAAACTTCTATTTGGCAAACTTTATTGATGCATATATTCATATGGAATATAGCAAAAATGTGTACGTATTTCTGAGTAGTAGGGTTGCAAATCTATAAATCACCCAATGTTCCAAATCCTCGAGCAATACTTTTGATCATCAATCATTGTCGTACATGCTAATATTGTTTCCTTAGAATATATTTGCCAAAAAATCGTTTGTTGAAAAGCAATTGCTTATTATTCCTTGACAAATACTTATCATACATCATGAGAATTCAAGTCATATTGCCATCTTATTGCCTTTCGATATCTTTGTCAAGTGCATGTAGACAGTATGAAATATCTTCAATTTTTTTCGGCATATGTATATAGGGAAAACCGGGGGGAAATTTAGTAAAATTGGTCATATAGATTAAAAAATATATAGTTTTTTAGAAGATGATTCTAACCTTCT